ATAGTGGATGGCACGCATATTGTGCAAATTCACAAGGCTCTCGCAGCTGGGCTTCATTCCCAGAAGACAAAGGTTAAGAATAGTTACTGTTCTTTAAACAGTATCCCCATCATCCAGGACACACTCTTCAACTTACCAGCAGGATCTGACAAGATGGGGGTTTTTGTAGTTAGGCCTGCACTACACGTAGGCCAAATAAAAGCTCAATCGAGGGATTATTACAGAATGAAAGTCCTTATGATTATTTCAAATGCCATAGCGCTAAGATATTAATTAAACATTTTGATACATTTATAAATAAAGACATGCAACATGTATATATGCTGAACAAACTGTTTTAAACGCAACGTATGTTTATGATTATAGATGTATATAGTTATTATGATAAAACGCGTTTGGATTATAAACCCGTTTGTGTATTATTACTTAAATGGTTAAACATGCGTACAGGCTCTAACACTGTTCAAACACTTCGGCACGTTTATAAAGGGTGCGGTGTTTATTAACAACATTATCGGGTAACGATGACATACACGTGTTCAAGTCACTTGCAGTAACGTGAAGAGTCTCAAGCCAACTGCTAAAAATGGTTGCAATACTGTTGAAAGACCTTATTTTTCTTTCAGAAAATTATCAGCCATCCGAGATCATGAAATATATATGAACGAGCCTGTGTAAAAAATAGAATGAATGCAGCTCTGAATAGTCCTATTCTCTACATTTGCATCTAACAACAGCTGACGTAGGGTTGCGCCATACCAAATACGCGCCCATAGAAAACAGTGCAACATCGGACCGAAATAGCGCCGCCTGTTGGCTCTCGTGAAAAGAGTGGCCTCCGTTTTTTTCACTGGAAATTCAAGACTATGGCCAGAAGATCACTTTTCGTTTCAATTTCATGGGGGTTAGACACGAAATTTTTTGTTGTTCGCCTTTGAACGAAGATACCCCCAAAATAGCAGTAAAACTGAACGCTCATTTCTGAATGTAGCCACCCGCTTCCATCCAAAATAGACCCGCAATTTGGGACTTTTTGTTAAAGAAATACCCCGAACTGGAAACCATCTGTCCCTTATAGAAATGTTTCTATGATACCTCCTGATTATGGCCTGTCTTATTGTAAAAATCCCGTGGGATCGCGCGCAGAAGTACAACCATTTGGTGGAATGCACCCGTAAGGGGACGCAGAAAGAGATCGAAGTGCGCAAGCACGTGCGTGTACATACAGCGCATGTGCCTAGTCGTGTCTTAAACGCTGAACGGTACAAGTGAACGTAATGTCTAAACACGGTGTTTATTTTGGTGCAACTCTCCGTCCACATATTATAATCGGCTTAAATTGACCACTTACAACAAGCGATTTAAATTTCGCCAAGAGTATTGGCGGAAAATTACTGAATTCAGGTTTTAAACGGGGAATTGGCCATTGTTACTGTCGTAAGCAGTGTCTCAGTGTTGTTCTAGAAAACTTCTAAAATTGAGAAAATTAGTGGGAAAAATATCAAAAGATCGATTGAAATGGAAAAAGTTTATCCTCTTTGCAGCCACGTTGAGGCTAAATTTCATATTTTGGTATTTTATTCGTTTTAAGCCTTTTAGAACACATACAAAGAATTTCAATGTTTGTTAATTTCGTTTGTTAATTTTGTGCAAACGAAATCTTTCGAACGAGAAGGCTCAACAGAGGATTGGTAAGTTGCGAGGTTACCGCCGCGCACTGTCGAAGTCGTTAATTTCCACGCATCGAATGGGAGTGAAACAGACGTGTGTGCAGTGTTTTACACCTGTACAGCGTTCACGCCTGTGCAGCGTTTTACACCTGGGCAGCGTTTTACACCTGGGCAGCGTTTCACATCTGTACAGCGTTTCACATCTGTACAACGGTTTACACCTGTACAGTGTTTTACACCTGTTCAGCGTTCACGTTTCAATCTGTACGGCGTTTTACACCTGTCTACGTTCACGTTTCAATCTGTACAACGGTTTACACCTATACAGTGTTTTACACCTGTTCAGCGTTCACGTTTCAATCTGTACGGTGGTTTACACCTGTACAGTGTTTTACTCCTGTTCAGCGTTCACGTTTCAATCTGTACAGTGTTTTACACCTTTTTTCAGCGTTCACGTTTCAATCTGTACGGCGTTTTACACCTGTTCAGCGTTCACGTTTCAATCTGCACGGCGTTTTACACCTGTTCAGCGTTCACGTTTCAATCTGTAGGGCGTTTTACACCTGTTCAGCGTTCACGTTTCAATCTGTACGGCGTTTTACACCCGGGCAGCGTTTCACATCTGTACAGCGTTTCACATCTGTACAACGGTTTACACCTGTACAGTATTTTACACCTGTTCAGCGTTCACGTTTCAATCTGTACAGTGTTTTACACCTGTTCATCGTTCACGTTTCAATCTATACGGCGTTTTACACCTCTACAGTGTTTTACTCCTGTGCAGCGTTTTACACCTGTCAAGCGTTTAACACCTCTAGCTCTGCAGCGTTTTACAGCCGTACAGTTCCAACTACCACTTTCCACAGCTTACGCATACGGGGTCGAGTCTCAAAGAAGACGATTCGAAGCGTGAAATTCCTACTCCGTGTGTAGACCACTCTTATTTAGTCTACCGTTTGAACTGGTTAGTTTTAGATTTAACCTCATACGTGTTCAAAATGTAGACTTGTCCCATCAATTTAAAAACGGGTCGTATTGCATTTATAACTTAACGTATATTTTTAGCTGATGTTCCAATAGCTGCGAGGTTTTTTTTACACAGCGTGGATTATATTCTTTTCCTTTTGTTTTGATGTCCAGCCAAAGTATTAGAAGCCATTTCTAAGAAAAACACGACTGTGACGTCAAAGAATAGATCGTATTCCATGCTGATAGGTCGCATCCGCTCATAGCAGGAACCAGCTAAGACTACAAGAGTTTTTACGTAGCAATTAATTGTCAATGCGTGTAACCAATTTCTGTTACGCAGCAAAAGCCACGCTTAGCGTGAAGCCACGCTAAGCGTGGCTTTTGCGGAGTGTCACGCGTGTGCGCCTGGCGGATGCACGCCTGCTGTGTTACCAAACTTCCCGCCAGCTTGTCTTTTCTTAGCTTGGGTTGGACTCGCCAGGTCCCCGTCCCAATCCAGTTCGTAAGTGTGACGTCACTTAAGTTTAAACCACGCCCACTACACATAGATTTACATGGACATGATGGAACCATGGGACTGGAAGTTAACGCTCAACATTAGCGTTAGTCTAATTGGAGCCTGCAATCAGAGGTGCGTCCACGTGTATGACAAAGTCACTTTAACGAACCGGACTATATATTGACTGAGTAGCTGGTTGGCTTCTGGGGTCCGTAGTTGGTTTAGCTCTGCGCATGTGCAATTGTTTTTCGATTTATGGAGATGGTGTTTTATACAGCATTTCAATAGATGGCTTTTGGGAAACTTAAGGTTTTTTGCACTGTAATTATGGAAGTGGTTACCCATAAAGAGCAGGTAAATACATCTGAAAGTCCTGTGTGGAAATGACTCAGTAGACAGAGTTTAATCGATTCTAGAAAGTCTTTCAAACATTGTTGAATGCTAACATAAAACCAGCAGGATTCCTCCGGAATTATTACCCGCACCAGTCACTACGTTCTTAGGGTGTCCTAAATACGCTGGACACCATGTACGGGACGGGAAAGAGTCTAAGCCTAGGGGTATTGGCCGTGCTAACGTAATGATGGTGAACATAGTTGATTTCACATTATTAGGTTCATTATTTCATATAAAACCATGAAAGTTTCAAATCAGCCGATTGTACCTTTATCATCTTTGTAAAACATGAAGGTATAGGAAATTGTGGTTATAAATCACCCATTATGGAGGCCTCTAGGGGTGCACTGCAGCAAATAAATTCCCATAGACAGAACTGAGAAATCCTCATACTTCACAAATACTTCAAAATACAACTTTTACAGGTGTTCAGGCTGCATAGAAAAATAATGTTCGACACACCCTCTTTCATTTTCAATTTTAGTGGGTTGACCAATGAATTTTTCAGAAATTCTCACCGAAAGCAGACCACCCCTAAATTGAAAGACATTTCACTGCCCGGAAAAAGTAGCCATTTTGAAAATGCATCCCTCTGCAAAATGGCTAAAATAGTGCCACTTTTGGACCCAATTGCATCCAAATTGCTCAGAATTGGAAAGCCTGAGTCCGGTCCAGAGGTTCAGTGCCATATTTCTTCCATTCCCTAGTTCCATAGTTCTCAGGACCCTCTAATATAGAATATTTTGAGTGTATAACTTTTATTAATGAGCTTGGCGGGCATATTTCTGGCCTATATACGTGGGTGCACCCCAGACTAATCCTTCTTGAGCAGAATTACCCCCTCATCGGTTGAAACGAGCCACGTTGGTGTTCAGTGTTCACTTTGTTAATATTGGTGAGACCGTAACTAGTGCACATCAAACTTGATGATTTAAATAATACATTAACTGCATAAGAAGTGTGTTCGAATTTATTGGTGGCAATGCTTCACCAATCTATTTCCCACAGCCTGACTTTTTTAATCAGTATCGATTCGGTGCTTATAAGCAAAGGATATTACACATACGTTTTAGAAATATCTGTATTCTACTGATGATGATTTGCGCAATTACTTCATGTAACAGCAAGAATGTACAAAAAAGAAAATTACTCTTAACAAGAGCTGTTTTTATAAACTACTGACATAATAACGCACTCAAGACAATTCTGATTCTTTCGTCGGAATGAAACATCACTATCATTCACAATGTGAAACCAATTAAATGGCACACTAAAATTTGAAAATACACAAGCTTTCTTAAATATTTACTGGTAACTTTTCATGCATGTAGCGACATGTTTTCCAACAATTTTTTTGTTCACTTTGTTTAGCATTCCCAAACAATGGGAAACTGTGTCCACTGTACTTATTCATTTATAATTTAAGTCTGATTTTGTTTACCAAAAATTGTGTAGTGTTTTCCTTAATTTATAAAGTGTTCATAGAAAAACAATTATTCTACTTTGTTAACCCAGTAACCATCGTCCCTGTACCTCAATGCAGTGCATTTCATTGTACATGTACTTACGCTGCCTTAATCAACATCAATAATGACTAATAACTACATTTTTAGAAATATTCTCGTTCAAGCTATTGTCACACTGGTTTTCCCAAAATCTTATTCACTGTTCTTGACATTCTCGAACATTCTTGAACGTTTTCCTATTCCAACAGGCGACCTTCTTCAACCCTAACCCATCTTATTTCTTCATTCTTAACCTATGAGCAATGTTGTTTACAAAACGTTATTGTTTATGCTATTCCTCTACATCATAATAAAACATGGATCTTTTAAATTGTATACACCTAATAAACAACGTCCCGGAACTTCAGTAGGGTGTTTTGTTTAATAGTATTGTCGCTGCCGTAACTTGGAATTATCTTCAGTTTGCTTCACTTGTAATTATCCTCTTTAAAACAAACAAACATGCTCTGGACAGCTGTTTTGACTATCCACGGAACATTCGGAGCATTTGTCTGTTTCAGTTATTTAAAAAACATTAGACCCCAAACCTTAGAACGACGTGTGTTTTAGCATTTGACGCGTCATTCACCTTTGACATTCCTACTCGGCATCGACGTGTATGGTCAAGTAATCCGCACGTCCAACAGTATTGGCACCTGTTAAGCAAAATGTGATGACAGATAAATATCTTTAGCCGGATTTTAAAGCAAGCATTACATTGTTTTGAGCCAAATAGTTCCCCCAAAGTCAATATCAAATCAATAATGTGTTAATGGTTTGTTTTTGTAAACACTGAAGTGTATTGAACATGTTTCTCCAAATAACTTCCGTGTGCTTCAATAAGAAATAATTATACTTATCAAAACGTAATTGTTAGTGAAGAGGCGCCAACCCAGCCCTGTCCAATTAACAATGCGGAGTCTATCCTAATGCATCACCCTGTTGTAACAGGTTTGGACTCTGGGAAATACGAACTTGAATAGAACCCGTTGCGCATGACATAGTCCAGAGGACAGTGACAACTATACTTACCCTCAAGCAAGCTTGAATTCTCAATTCTAATATAGTGTGATATAGCTGGGTGATATAGCTAAATTCAAAGGTAGCCCGTTGTTACAGCTCCTCAAGATAAATTGCTGCAAGATAAATTCCCTATTATGCTCGCGAGGTCGAGTGGGATGTAGATGATTTCCAGTTACATGATTTTTGACGGTCAGCGTTCAATTAAAGGCGCCTTTCAATAAGTGCGTTGCGTATCTGTCAGAATTGCTCCCTGAGCGACGTTTTCAAGGCCGAACGCAGCGCACTCGTGTGGTATGTTAATGGCTCGATTTTTGTGTCCGTGAAAGTGAAACGCATGAACGCATTGTACGCAACACATCCGAGAAACGTACAAAGTAAGGCGCCTTAATTCGTACACGGCTTATGTATCGGTAAACTTATAAGACAGAGTGCTCGCGTGGGCTCACCTGTGGTAAGCAGGTCTTGCCAACGTACTTTGCCAGCTGCTGCGCTGTACACTATAACAGGATAGGCCGAATATCGCTCCCATTCACAGGCAGCTTGGGTCTTGGATTCCACCACAGCAAGCCAGCCGACGTCGTTTGGACAGCCACCGTAAATGTCGTTGATAAAGAATCGGCGGTCTCTTCGTGGAGAAAAGAGAAGAAAACAGGCTCTTGTACGTGCAGTGGACATAATAGATTATCTTCAGGCAAAAACGAATTCTAAGTTCTGATTGGTCGATCCATGGTAACAAACATTGTGACATATACATAGAACTATATATAGCTCGAAGGAAATAATTATAACAACTGTGTTGCACGCATAGACGTTTTTTCTTCCTATTATCTTATCGATACTCACAGTACAGTGTCCCCTTCGATGCTGAAGAAGTTGACCCCGGTTGATTTCAGGTCCTCCCACGGACTTGAGATGAGACGGTCCTTAGTGAACCAGTTGAGGATGTCTGATCCAGTTCCGTTGAATAACACCTCGGCTCTACAACCGATGAAATCGCACAGGGACAGTTTCACCTGAGGACGAAATCCATTGGGTAAAAATGTTCCACTGGTAACCAATACTGCAATAAGCGTACCCTGAATCAGGTTCGAATGAGTTTTAGTTTCCACTTCAAGAGTGCATGAGTCAGTAAGGCCAAGAAAAAATGCACGTTTTGAATCGTTGTGTAGCAAAATCAGGTCGCGACGCGTTAAAGCTGCGTAAACTTTGCGGGCTACTCAATGAGATATTAGCAAAGCAGCCCCCACGAGTCGGGCAATGGAGACATCATTCCTCGAGAAAATTTTAACTGAATAACAAAAGGCAAACTACCCGGGAAGACAAAATCTCCTAAGGCAGGCAAATTTATCGGAGGCGGATAATAGAATCTTCCGGGTGACAAAATCTTAATCCACACCGGTTCAGAAATGGACAAGGTTAGATCCAAATCCAGAAATCCTCGACAAGATTCACCATACTCACCCGCCTTACATTCAGGTCGGTGCTTCTCCAGGCTCTGTGTAACGAGTCGTTGCGGTAACTCCCACCAACTCCCATCACACTTGCGTCCCAAGACGCGGCAGTCCACATGTCATACAGCTTCACACCCCTTCCTGTCACGCCATTGAACACAAGCCGCCATTGGGCAGGAGCGCTAGCTGTGGCGTTTTAACGAAAAATGTTAGTGGAGACGAGGCAACAGACAGTTTCAAAGGCTTTGCTCTCATGGCACCAGTAGTTTTCCGATTCACTAAGACGAACAGCCTACCAGACTTATCCTGATCTCATCAGTTAAATATTGTTCCTTTGGAACAAAGTAATTACTAGCCCCCCCACCTTCAAGGCACTGTTAACCACTTCAATTCACGCTAGGGTAGGGGGGGTAGTGCCATTTAAGAATTTGTTAATGGAACCAACTAAAAAAGACAATTTAAAAGCGTTATTTGCAATACAATTTTAGCCCTCATCATTTAATGAAGCGAAAATGACGTCTCAACAGATTTTCAACAAAATGTGACCGAGTCGAAAATGTGTAACTTATTTACAAATCTGCCTCACAAGTATACTTGGTATGAACTGGCTTCAAAGATGTTAGTATTTGGCAACCCAAGAACGCTGTTGGCGAGTCACTTGTGAACCGAAACTCTCTTTCAAAACAGAGCGCAGAATCTTTTGTTTTAATTTATGCGCAGCTGTTTTTCTCCAAACGTGCATAGCTTCAGCTGGGTAAGGAGTATTACTCTAAATCAAGTTTTTGAGCTACTTTGTTCTTACTTCTGATAAAACAAAAACCAAAATAAAAAAAAATGGATTGAAATATTTTCAATTATCTACTAAAAACATAATATTAGTCTTTACAATAAATGTAATAGAAAAACTAGAGTAAAGTTGATTATATATAACGGTTTTGCC